ACCCCAGGGGAACGTGTGCTAAGATGCACATTGCTGGGTCCCCTGCCCCCAAAACACACTGATTTAGACCCCCTGGAGGAGGGACCTGGGAATTTACTCTCTAATCAAGAGTCCCTGGTCATTCTGAAACAAGCTAACATTCAAGAACCACACAGCTAAGGCTCGCAAGTGGTACATAAGGGCCACCTGCCATGTGTACAATGCTTTAATTGCTGCCCTACCTGGAAGCAAGGCCAAGGAAATGATGACCTCCCCGTCCACACACACACATCACAGAACACCAGTTCCCAGGCTGTGTCAGGTGCCGGGATCACGGCTGGGCTGCCTGTCAGGTTGTGAGACACATTCCCTCCTGGTCTGGACACCCTTGCAGAGCCGAGGAAAATTGGTCTAGACAGAAAGCAGCAGGATAGTGGCCGGGTGGGAGCTGCAGGCGAAGCCCTCCCAGAGCCCCACCCCCCACGCTCCCGAGAAACTGCCCAAGGCCTGAATCATTTGGACGAGGACAGACTGTGCAGAGGAGGGACCGATGCCCGTGAGGGTGTGGGGAGCTTTGCAAGACTTGTCAAGGCCAAGGGTGGTCCACCGAGGACGCAGAACAGGCTACTGAGCTGCAGAAGACTGAGAGACGGCTGCCTTTGATCTCGAAAGCACTTTTCTTCAAAGAGCTCAAAGCACTCCCCAGACACAGCCTAATCCATTCTTACCCCCATCCTCCACGTTAGATCTTGGTAAGGAACTCAACCAGGGCAACTCCTCTGGCAGATTCCAACTCAGGTCCAAAGTCAGAATCCCCCAGGATATTTTATACGCGCAGACGTGGAGCCCTCACCCCGGACCAAGGCAACGAGGCCCTCCTGGAGTAGGGCCCCAGCATCCCCTACTGGTGAAAGGTCTGAAGTTCCCGCTGCCTCCAGGCAGCATCGTTCTACTTCTGGAGAGCTCAAGTTTTTTTTTCCAGATCAACATAATTGGGCAGGGTGCTTTCAGTGGCAAAGGAATTCGTAGCTCTGACGGCCAGAAGCTCCTCCTCACATCAAACCAAGTCTCCCACGGTAAAATGTAAGGTTCGCCAAGCCTCCGCGTGGTGCACACAGAGAAAAGCGGCTCGGCTGCAATCTGACCCTCTCCTCCGAGGGAAGTGGAGGGAATGCAGTCACTCTGGAGGTGCCGCAGACGAGCTGGGCACCAGCCCAGGGCCCTGCGTTCCACCTGGCCCCCACCTCACCCCGCCGGGCCGTGGCTGCTTCTCGGTGGACACGCGCCAGTGCCAAACACGGAACCCAGAGTCTAACTCAGATCTGAGGTTTTCTCAACTTCTGTCCCAAAGGCAAGAGGGTGGGAGGTTGAAGGCCCCCAGGCTTGCCTCTTTCCTCTGCTCCTGACATGCAGGATCAGAAAATAAAATACACGGCCGGGAGGAAAGGCCTGGAGTTGCTTCTGACACTGCCCTAGAGCCTGCGCCTCTGGACATCAGCTTCAAGATGTCAAGCCCAAGCACTGCCCCCGCTGCATCCTCCCTCCTAGAGGCTGGAGGTGACCCTGGAGGATGCCGCAGGGGGGCCTTTCTCACTCACTGCAGTGAAACTGTAACCCTGAGGGACACGGCTAGGCTGGGGGCCTGGGACCAGGACTCCCCCCAGGTCGGTCGCAAGTCTCTGGGCCCCGTGAGACAGAGAAACGAGGTGTGTGGTTAGGAAAAGGGGGAGGCAGCTGAGGCCACTGCTGCCAATGGCCACGCTGTCAGGTGTTTCAACAGCACGGGGATTTCCTGGTCGGCTGTGCGGCAGAATTTTTACGGCTCTGCCTCACTGGTGTGATCGTAAACTCCCCAAAGACGGGGACTCTGTGCTCTGTTGGCTCAGCTCAGCCTGGCACAGAGTAAGTGCCCGTTACATGGCAGCTACTAGTCACACGCGACTGTAGCCTGGTGCCCAGCCCTCGGCTGTGCACAGCAGTCAAGTCTCGTCGCCCTCTCTGGGACGAGCGCTCATTTCCCAGATGGAGTGACATGTTAGCCCCTGGACTGAACAGCCGGCTCGTGGCAGAGCCCGGGAGATGCGTTGACAGTCAGGGCTCCCCAGACTGCTGCCCGAGTCAAACGATGCCCCAGACCTTCCCTTCTCTCCCTTCACCAGCCAGAGTGGGCCCCTCCTGCAAACAAGCCCAAACCCCCAAACTCGCCTCCTAGATGTCCCAGAATCACTCAGCCTCGTGCTGAGCCATTTGTAAACCTCCCATCTAACTATTCTGCATCCCATTGGGGTTTCAGTTTTTTCTTTGACTTCTACGCTGCAAGGACCTTCAGGGATCCCCTGGTCCAGGAGGAACCTGGAAACAAGATGTGAACAACCTTTTTCTTTCTTTAACAGAAGAGAAGAGAACACAAGAGACTCTGAGAGAAAACCTCAGAGCCCATCACATGTCACGAGGGTGAACACGTTTCATGAAACTTTTGTCTCAGTTATTCACACACACAAATGTGTGGGAGCTGCAAAGTCAAGCGCGTGTCTTCTGGCCAGTCACAATCAGAAAGTTTGAACAACACCAATCCCGTTCTTGAATGTTGCCGGTAAGGAAACAGATGCAGAGAGAGGTAAAGCACATTGCCTGAGGTCACACAGCTGGTCAGTGGCGGTGCCTGGGCAGGACCTCAGGTTGCTCCTGTCTCCTGTTGCAGTGCTCTGCTCGCTACAGGTCTCTGGGAAAAGGACTGCCAGAGAGCTCAGTGAGCCCCGAGCCCACACGAGTCCCCCGGTCAGAGTGGACTCCATCAGCTGACCTGGGGCAGGGGTAGCTGGCAGGCATATGAACGGAGGATGGGCACAGAAGACTGGAAATCCTGGCTGAGCTAGTTTCGACCATGCAGCTGAGAGTGACCTTGACTTTCAGCTCAAGAACTTTTTAACTATCATTGAATTGGAACCAAAACACGAATGCAGGCCACTTAGAGATGGATGTATGGCCCAAGAGGCTCTGCAGTAAGTCTCTCCCCGCGGAGGTGCAGGCCAGCAGAGGGGCCCCCTGCAGGTAAGATTCTGGGCCCCGAGCTGGGTCACTGCAGCCATTCCGGCCCTCGTCTCCTTCGGAAACAAGGGAGCCGTCCCCTCTGGGGGTGCCCCTGACTTTCACTGTGGCTCCTTGGGGTGAGCAGTGCTGGACTCAGAGAGGAGGGTGGTGAGGGGCAGAAAATAAGCCTCATTTTACACGTGAGGAAATCGAGGCTCAGAGAGGCCAAGAGACCAGAGCAAGGTCACAGAGCTAGCTGGCTGGAGAGCACACACGACTCTGACCCAGAGCTCCTGATTCCCTGGGCCTGCTTCTCACATCCACGCAAGAGGCACCTGGACATCTTGTTAAAACGCAGAGTCGGTAGGCCTGGGGCGAGGCCTGAGGCTCTGCATTCCCGAGAAGCTTCCAGGTGATTCCATAGACTAGACTTCGACAGCAAAGCTCTACACTGTGTTGTCTGGAAGGATAAAGGGATCCTTATACTTCACCTCCAGCTCTCCACTTCAGCCAGGCAAATCCTCCAAGACTCACAGACATACTTATTTAAAATAGTAATAAATGTTATTATTTTAACGTTCATCGAATACTTACTAAGTGCCCACACTGTTCTAAATGCTGACATGTAATCCTCACAGGTCTATGACACGGGTATTACCGTCCCTATCTTACACATAAGGAAGCTGCAACTCAGAGAGGTTAAGTAACTTGGCCTAAGTCACACAGCTAGTAGGCAGCAGAACCAAGATTCGGACTCAGCTCTGACTCACAGCTTATTCAGCTAAAGGCTCTATAGCGTATACCCTCAACCCCTCTCTCTCCCAGCCCTGGGAGCCTCACCCCAGAATGCTCTGAACACTCCTCTAGCCCGACCGTGTTCCCTCCAGCACCACACGGCCACGATTGCTCATGATTCAGGGTCCGAAAGGTCCTCTTCCAGACCTGTGTATAGCCAGTGGGCCTCAGCAAGTTACTTTAGAGTTGATGGGGGGAGGCATGAGATGAAAGGGAGCTCAGGGCGGTGCCCGGACAGCGGTCCGCACGCGTGGTGATCTCTCTCTAAATTAGGGGCTTGTGTGCTTTCTTGTGGTCTCTGTTGGAATCGCTGAGGATTCCTATGGAACACGAGCAAATCTCCGGGTGGGACAAGGGGCCCTGGGAGGATCTCCCCAGGGTGCTTCCCAGCTCGCCCCCCACCCAGCCCGCGTTCTGGCTGAGGCTTCAGGACGGTAAGCTGTCCTGAGTTACGCCGTGGGTCACAACATCGAGCTCCTCACGGTAACGATCGTTGATGAGTGTGGACAAGCACAGTGCCCTGCTGGCACACTCGTCCCCGCAGGCCAAGGGACACCCACCTGGCGAGCCCGCCCCTGCGGCGCCCGGGGCCTGGCCAACTCGGGCTCGGCTCCCAAGCAGCTTCTTCAGGCCCCAAGCACGTTGCCTGGGGCGGCGTCCTCCAGTACAGGAGGAGTTCTAGAAAGCACTAAATATCTGGAGAGAGCCCGGGGCCAGGAGGGCAGCAGGAGAAACTTAACACCGTGACGGGAGTGAGACGGCAGGAGGGCCGGGGGCTGGTCCAGAGATGGGGTAGGTGCCGTAGGCCGGGGCCTTACCGCCCCAAGGCAGACACAGTGGTTTCTAATGGGTCTCGGACACCAGACCATCTTGCTCTGAGTCCTGGCTCTGCCACTTCCACACTGTGTGTTCTGGGGGCGTGTTCCTTACCCTTTCAGTGCCTCGACTTCCCCATTGGTAAACTGTGGATAATGATAAATATCCCAATGGGCTGTGTAGGAATTTAGGATCGCGCCGAGCGCGTGGTGAGGGCCTAATACCTGTGAGCGAGGGCTTAGGAATAGATACCCGGGGACAGCCACAGGCCCCCCCCGCTCTGGAGGGTGGCCATAAGGCGGCGTCACCGAACATAAGACAGAAGAGGTGTGTCTGGTTTGCACGCGTCTGTACAGAGGGCGGCTGAGACCGGTACCCACCTTTTCAGGGCGCACTCCAGCTCATGCTTCTCCTCGTGGGCTTCTAGGAGCTGCGAGAAGATTCTGGTCAGGAAATCCTCAAAGTTGGACAGTAAGTGAGGCTCGTCCTTCTTCAGCTGCAGCCAGAGTTGCTTGACGTCATTTTCACTGTGAGAGAAAAAGGAGCGTTAGGGTGGGAGCGTGGACATGAGGCTTCGTGGGACACACGGAGGCCCCAGGTGTGACACCGATGGCTAGAGCATCATTATCACCGTCAGTACAGTGACAGCAGGGGCTGACATTTATTGAGTGCTTGCCGCATGCTGGCTGCCTTATGCACGTCTGCTCATTTGACCTTCCAGTGAGGCAGGCGCTGCTAACACCCCCGTTTACGGGGGAGGGGACGGATGAAGAGGGGTGAGGCGAGCGGTCTCAGATCACTCCGCTGGGAAGTGATGAAGCCAGGAGCCATGCCGGCCTCCTAATGGGCACACTCAACAGCTCTGCTTTCTGTCTCCCGCAATGAGCTGGTGCTGCTGAGCACACGGAGCCGCGGGCCAGGAGCATCTGCAAACGCCAGGAGGCAGCGGGAGGACGGGAGCCCCGCGCGTGTGAGGACAGGCGCCGTGGAGCTGGAGCAGCGAGCCTGTCGCCCCAGGAGGGATGGGCCTCACAGCTGAGAGCGAAGGACGTGGCATCTGACGGATGGCAGGAAGCGGTTGTCACCGCAGGGAGTGGAAGGGAAGATGCAGCAGCCCACTGGGGCCCGGAGGCAGCGGGCGTGACAGGGGAAAGCAAGGGAAGGAGCAAGCCTGAGAGATGTGTGTGCACACACGGAGAGACGGGTGGGGAGTCGGGAGGACGGAGCCTGGCAGAGAGGCACAGACACAGAGTGGCGTGCCTAGAACCGCTCCCTCCCCAACAGGCACGCTGGCGCTCAGCAGAGGAGACACACGGGCCACGGTCACGGTGATGGGGGTGGGGGCGGGAGGCAGCACACCCATGGACCTGCTCTGCCTCTGGAGAAACTCAACAGTCTACAGCCAGTGATCAGACAGACAGCCAGAGGGGCATCTGATCTCACTCATTAAATTCTAAAACCACTGTGATCTGAAGGCAGCTACAACTAGGGACCCTCAGGATAAAGAATAAAATCCCTTGTGCTGTGTAACAAGCACTATATCTGAGAAATTTTACTCAAAAGTGATACTTGATAGTGCCATGTTAGTAATGTGCCTGGGGTGTAAGTGTTACTCTCTGCGCCCAGCAGAGAAGAGGCCCACCGAGAAATGAACCTGCTTCTGGTCAGTTACCTGATCATCTATCCAATCATCCCTCCTTCCCTCTTTCCTTCCCTTGCTCCATTCCACCCAAACATCCACCAACTCATCTAGACCATCCATCCATCCATCCATCCATCCATCCATCCATCTATCCTCCCACCCATCCATCCACCCACCCACCCACCCATCCATCCACCCACCCATCCATCCATCCATCCACCCTCCCATCCATCCAACCAACCATCCATCCCTCCATCCACCCTCCATCCATCCTCCCATCCATCCACCCAACAAGTATTTATTATTTGTTGAAAACCTAGCACTGATCTGGATGACATGAGAGATCTAGAAAACGAGAGAAGGGGAGGTAAGGAGCCTCCTGTTTCCCAGAATAATTTCCATTTTCCCCCATACAGAACACGCTGTGGCTGTCGCTCTACTGGGCTGTAGATACAATGGGGATTGCACAAAGGGTTCCGAGATAAAGGGTCTCTGGGAGATACCACGATGACTTCCCATCACTGTGGCAGGTTGCCCCTCACAAGGTAAATGCATTATGAAATCAAGATGCACCTTGCTGGCCGAGGTCTGTCTGCTCCCATCCCCTGGGTTCCTGCTGCAGCCTGGCAGAGAACCATTAGGGTGAGGGCCTCCAGTGAGATTTGCAGACCTACCTGACGCTCTTCCAAAGCTACCTGGACCTCCTGGTCGTGGCCACATCACCTCCCGCCAGATTTCTGGAGAAGGGATAAGTCTCTCAACGCTGGATGAAAATTAGGCCAAGGCCGATGAGCTGTCTAATCACTCAGCCAGTCGGAGCACCGAGAAGAGCCGGGAGCCCAGGCGCTCTGTCCACCACTTCTGGACAAAGCCAAGGCCGCTCTCTTGGAAGGATACAGGGGTGCAGGGTGAGAGAGGGTTCCGGGTGGTCAGTCCATCCATCTCCCTGCTTCCAGAACAGTACGCAAACCATCGTGGTCGCTGAGATCTTTAAAGACCTCTGAAGTTTTCCAGCCTCCTCTGTTTCCTCATCTGGGGTCCTACAGTCTGGACCGTTTTCCCTCACGCTGCAGCAAAAGCCCACTTCCTTCTTGTTTAACTTCAAGGAGGATGACAGTGGCCGGGCACCATCTCCTGTTTGTGGGTTTTTATCGACCACTCTTGGAACCTTCCCCAGAGCCTTCTCTTCTCCAGGAGCTCTCGTGTTGGCTCGGCCCTGCGCGGGCCTTTGTCTGACGTCCTCAGAGAAACCTCTGGTGAACTCTGATTTGAGAGCCCTGCAGGAGGGTGGCGGTCCAGAAGTGATGGGTGGGCAGAGAGATGCCTGTCTTTCATGACAGTCCCTTGGCTCGCCCACACTGCCCTCTCCTGCCCCCTCCTCCAGGACGAGCCTTCACGGGGTCGTGGGCATGGTCACTGGGCTCTGGTCTCTTGTCCTTGGAGCAGTGGAGCTAGTGTCCCCTCTGGCTTGCCCAGGCTTCTGCCAGCCTGTCTCAACTCTGCCACAACCTAAAAGACGCCGGGAGCTACACATGCTTTCTTGGCCTGCATGCTGTGTGAAGGCCCCTCTCTCTTGCTTCCCCTTTATCATTCTCCTCCACAGTCTTCTTCTTCCCAAGCTCCAGACACATCAGCTCCAACCATCAGGCCATTCCCCCCTCACTCATGAAACACACACCCAACCCAAGACCTGGAGACCCCAACACAAAAAGGCAAGGGGCGGAAGTTACTCCGTGTTTTTCGGGCGACTCTCTGGTTTCCACTAGCTACAACATCACTTGACTTCATTTCAATTAATGGCAAAGGTCTGGGTTTACATCTATGCGTCTCTTTCTTACAAAACACTTTTTGCAAAAAAGAAAAAAAAATGGGGGTATGACGTTTGGTTTGAAGCGGCAGCCACCTAAAATTTTCAGCTGAGTTACTGACCACCCAAGTGATCAGCTGGTAGAAACAGGTTCACCTCCCACCTCGGCTTCCAGAACAGGGCTGGTTCGCCTCAGGGATCTGACGCGCAGATGCTTCCGTGTAAGGTGGCTTTGGCGGGAGCACAGCACGTGGGACGCACTGCGGCCCCAGAGACCCAGCGGAGGTGGAGATGCTGGTGAGCTGATGGTGACAGGAAGCCTTAGGCGGGACGCACCGAAACCCTCAAGGGTTTCAACCCTTGCACAGCCCTCTGATGGGCGGGCAGCCCTCAGGGAGCAAGGCCAAGCCAAAGACTGTACTGACTGTGGATGGCAGGGGCTGAGGAAGGCGTGTGGGAGATCAGGGGATAGGAGCGTTTCCCTGAAAATAATGCAAAAAGCAGAGGCAGAGCCCTAGACCCTGACGCAGACAGGTCATGGCCAAGGGCAGGCTGCACGGGGCCGGTGGCCCAGCTGGAAGCAGGGACCCAGGGCTTGGCTGAGGGCTTAGCAGGCGTTAAGGTTGGACAGAACAGATGGGGAGGCTGCCCCTAGGCTGGGCTCCATCCCCCAGACCACAGTCGCCACTTACTCTTGCCAAACCTTTTGGACTCCAAGCCTGTCCATCAGCATCTGGAACTGGCCTTCCTCATCTCCGTCCATGTCACCCAGATCCTCACACCCTCTGGTCTGATACACCTTCTCTTCCTGGAGCTGGGCCAGGTGCTCAGCTCCATCTTCCTCACTCGGCTTCTTCTGGCTGAAGAAGAAGTGACCTGGGGGACACACGGGCACAAGATCTGGATTAGGCAACACTCACCCAGGAAGACCTGTGTTTCCTCAGCTGCCAGGAATCGACTGAGGTTCAGCTGAGAGGAGAAAAGGGGAGGCCAGACTCCCTGTAGCCAAGCTCCTTGGAGGCCGTGCTCTGGATCTCATGTCTCTGCTACCTGGATGAGATTCTGCCAGAGATGCTAGAATCTGGGAAGGGCAGAGCACATGGCGGGTACTACGGCACCCTTGTGGTTCTTAATCTTTGAAAGGCTGGCTTAGAATCGTCTCTTCATTGATTTCTTCTCTAAACAAGACCTTTCCCCTGTCGGACTGAGCAGCCTGCCTGCCTACGCTCTGTGTTATCACCTAGTCATCCTGGCCGCCAGCATCACTGTGCTTCACATTTACACGAATGTAAGTGAATTCAATTGTATGAATTCAATGATAAATTCCTGGAGGTCAGGAAAGGCCTCAGATACTTCCAAGCAAATACCTGGCACCTTGAAGGAGGCACATGTATGGTGATTTATCTGACCCATACTTGTTGTAATCAATATCTGATCAGTATTGGATCTGATGGTGTATCTGTTTTTCTTTTTTTTTTTTATCTTGTTCACGCCTCTCAGTTGTTTTTCCTCCTGGTCACCTTGAGAACGACTGGTCTATTCCAACCCTTTACAAATTCCTCTGAAAGCTATTGCCCCTCAACCTGGAGGACTCAGCCACACTCAGGTTGAAACGAGCCGCACAAGCCTCCCACTCTTGTCCACTGCTTTCTCGGCAGAAACGGACAGGTTGGAAATCCCGTCTCAGCCCCCTCTTAAGCTGACCTTCCCGCAAGAGCTTCTCCGCTCATTCCTCGCCACTTTCCAGTAGGAGAGGACCTGGCAGTGACAGCGCGGTGGGCACCGAGGGGGCAGTGGTGTGAGCAGCGGAAGTGGACCATGAAAAGAGAGCAAGTGACCCGCAGCCTGGAACCTTCAGGAGGCAGGAAAGCCTGTGCTTCATGGACCCTCGGAGCTGGTGGGGCAGGGATGCCCCTTATATGGCTTTAGGCCAACCCATACCCTGGGGCCCCAGCGTCCACCAGAACTTACTAAATCCAGTGGTGAACTCCGCTGGGGTCAGAAAGCCATTGCCGTCAGCATCCAGGGCATCAAACACATCCTCCAGGTCCTCCAGGCTGAGGGGCAGCTCCTCATGCAGCCTCTGAAAACGATCCAGACCAGGCTGGTTAACACCGCTCATCACGGACGGCTGCCGAGGGGGGCAGCGCCTTCCGCCCCGCCGACAAAAGCCAGAAGCCAGACTCTGAAACCTCACCACCCTTCTCCTCCTCTGAATATCAGGACATCCACCATCTCTTGGTTGCCTACTCACGTGGTAGGCAACTTGCTGGATGATTGATAAGTAAATATGTGTACATTTATTACTATATTTATATATAATTTATTACATATATGTTTGCATTTAATTCTCACGACAATTCTTTGAAGTGGGCATTACTATCCCCCTTTTACAGATGAAGCATGATGTTAAATGACCTGTCCATGCCATTAAGTGACACGGCCGGGATCAAATCCAGGTCTGATTTCAAAACTGGCACTGCTCACAGCCGTAAAGGACCAGAACTGCATGGGACTGAATCCCGTTTAGGATAATACCTGCATGACACGGTGCGGTCCAGTGGGATGATGGGATAATGAATGTAAAGAATATTGCACAGTACCCGGCACAGGGAAGGCATTCAGTAAAACGTATGAGGGAGGTAGAGAAAGAAAGGGGGGAGCAGAAGGTCCCCACCAAGGCCGCTGACCCACCAAGGTCACTCAGTGAGTGAACGGCACAGCCAGGTTTCACTCTGGTTTCACCTGCTCTGCCCAAGCCCCTCCCTCTGTCCCCCTGTTGCCATGCAGGTGTGGGTCACACTCTCAGAAGCCTTCCCTGATGGAGGCCACTCATGTCCCAGGGCTGCAGTTTCTGTGGACACACACTATGGTCCTTTAGCTCTGAAGGGGAGCTGGACAAGGCCACTGGGTGACACGCACCCATCATAGCAGCCTGCCCCCCACTCCTACTCCCTGCTGGCTCTCAACTACCTCCTGAAAAGACATGAACTGCCACCGCCTTAAGGTATGGATGACAGTATTTGTGTGGGACTTCCTGGGCGGTTCAGTGGTTAAGCCTTCGCCTTCCAATGCAGGGGGTGCGGGTTCGATCCCTGGTTGGGGAGCTAAGATCCCACATGCCTCGCGGCCAAAAGACCAAAACGTAAAAGAGAAGCAATATTGTAACAAATTCAATAAAGACTTTAAAAAAGGTCCACATCAAAAAAAAAAAAAAAAAAACTTAAAAAAAAAAAAGAGTATTTGTGTTGTAAAAGGGAGCTGGCCAAGATGGGGTGTGAGGTCACTGGACCTGAGTGCTGGGCTGCCCCAGACCACGCAGGGAGAGAAGGGCAGACGCTGATGGCTGAGGAGCAAAGTGGCTGAGCTGTGGCTGCTTCCCTCTGGCCTCTGCCTGAGGCACCGGCGGCCCCAGGCCAACGTTAATTTGCATCGTTGAAGCAAGTACCCTCTTCTACCCTAATAATCAAAACCTCCCAATGAAGACTCCCCAAGGGAGTTCATTACAGCCCAGCTGACCCTCCCCCATCCTCCCAGCTCCCCGAGGGACGACTGCACAAAATTGCCGCTGTGGAAGTGACTGACAGCTGAAGACAAGGATCACGGGGCCACAGGAAGGAAGGTACACGCCCATCTGAACAGTCAAAAAGAGCTGGCAGGTGTGAAAGCCCATAACGTAACTTGCGAGACACTCGGTCTGACCCTCAGGCACCCTTCTAGCTGAGAAGCCATAACGATTAATTTGGCAGGTACTTGCATTAAGAGAGACGATGATGCATTACAACGTGGGGAGACAGGATGATGTGCGAGCCCTTTAGAGTCACTGAATTACACAGGAATGAGGTTTTTAAAAAGGAAGGTAAGTGAGAGTGTGTGCAAGGATTCCAGAAGTGCGTCTGCTGAGCAAACAGCAGAATCTCTGTCTTGTCAACAATCCATAAACCAGCTGTGTCAAAGCCACAGGCAGAGAATGCAGGGCGAGGATGGGGTCAAGTTCGCAAGCAGGAAGTTCATTAGCTCCATCTGACGCTAAAGGCATCACATTGGAGGCAGGGTGAAAACCCAAGATTCCAGTCCTTTCCTTGGGATAATCCTGCCCCCTCCCTACCCTCTGCCTGAATGTGATCTCTAAAATGTGGTCTCTCACACTGTGCTGGACCCAGAAAGGGGCTGAAAGGAATTGCAGAGTCAGTGGGCCCCTCAACTTGCCTCTTGCCCAAAATACCCACACGTGGGCACCCGTACTCTTGTTAGCATCACCCAGGAAAAGCTAGGTCACACCCCGCCTCAGGCGCCATCCCTGAACCCAACAACACTTCTGACCCCAAGTCCTTCCCATGCTCTAATCCCATTCCTTGTCTCTGTCTCAAACCAGCTTCCTCCTCTTGCTGTCACTGAAGCTGGGGAGGGCAGTATGACATTCTCCAAGTCATCCTCCCTCTTCATGTCCCGCCAAAGTAGTACCGAGGGCTTCTCAAGCCTTCTCTGCAAACTGCACATGCCTGATGCCTCAACCTCTCTTTATTGGCCCTACCCGAAAAATCCTTTAGTCTTCATAACCATAATTACCTCTTATTTATCTTTCTTCTCTGGGCCTGCAGAGCCATGTAAAACCAACTTATTCTGCTCTTGTTCCCTGGGTACCTAGCGCTGTCTACATTTTTAACTAAAGGAGCCAAGCCGGGTGGAGAGGGACGCGACGATTCATTCCATGGTGCTGATAGCCCATGAAGCTCTGAGATTTCCCTAAAGTCACAGTGGAGGCCAGGCTGGGATAAAGAAGCAGTTTCCCCTTCGGGGCTTCCGCTGTCAGCTAAGGGCTCTCCGTGCGTCCATGCATCCTTAATTCCTTTCTCTCATTGCTATCCCACCCCTGCCACCAAAAGTCTGCCCGGCCAGCAGCACCCGTGCCAGCCTTCCAGAATCCTGCTTCACGGGTGGATCCTGTCTCCCACTCCCGCCTGGAAGAGCAGGTGGGGGGGGAGGGGGTCAGGGAGAAGGCAGGCTCGCCCCCCTCACTCTGTCCACGGCCCAACCAGTGGCTCTTCACGATTCCACGCTCCCTCCAACCGTGGCCTCCCTCCACCGCCTTCCTGTTCACTCTAAATTCCTGCTTCCTCTGAACTCTGAATTCCTGCATCACTTCCTCAGGAAGGCTCTGCAGCCCCGGCTTGGACCAGCGATCCAGACGCGCCCCCAAACACATTTCTTTCGTTCATAAGTCTCACCTCACTTTGTACTTTACATACTGATGGATGCGATTAGTGGATGAATGTCTGCTCCTTCAGTGGCCTGGAAGCTCTGGGAAGAGGGACCCCATTCACTTTTGTTCACTGTCATGGCCCCAGGATCTAGCCCAATGCTGACAACCAGGTGGTATTTAGATACTTGTTGAACAAGTGAATCAATAAACGAGTGACTACGAGTGATAGCAGGCGGTCCTGAGCTCCTGTCCACGGAGCACTGGTCTAGACCCCATCCACTCTAGATCCTGACCAGCCCCCGTCCCCCACCCAGGGGTGCTCGGCGAGGTCTTATAAACTGGGGCATGGAACAGGAAACAGTCCTGCAGGAGCCATGCTGAGGGCGCAGGCTCCCAGAGCCAGGGGAAAACGCTGTCTCCCGCTACAGCCCAGCTGGACCCTCTACCTTCCTGGTCACCAGCCCGCAACATGCCTCGTGCAGCTTAAAGCCAAGGGTTGCACAGCTTCAAATGCATCTAAGGGAAATGCTCATTAAAGAGAAAACCAGGAGATCCACCTTTACAGCCAGATTAATCTCTCCCTCTTTCCAGGCTCCCAAAGCCTCCTGTTCAGACCCTTCTCCCAGCACCAACCACTCTCTTCCCTGCGGTAGAGCCCAGAAGCACCAGACATCTTCAGGATGGGACTGTGAGGTCCAGAGGCGGGATCTCCCTTGATTCTGCCTGGTGCCTTGATGTGCTTGGTTCAGGCTGACAGCTGGGTGCAGACGGGAGTCTCAACCTCCGTGCTATTGACATCTCGGGATGAATTCTTTGTTGGAGAGGGAGGTGGGGGAGGAGCTGTCCCGTGCTTTACAGGACACTTAGCAGCATCTCCGGACATCACTTAGTAGATGCCCGTAGCATCTCCCTCTCCAGTCATTCCAATCAAGAATGTCCCTAGACATGAGCAAATGTCCTCTAAGAAGCCAAACTGCCCTCGCTCACGTAGACTGGACACAAACAAGAGCAGCACCAACTAGAGACGAACAGAAGGGACGCTCTCCAGCAGAAATGCCCCTTCTTGATCTCTGAGGCAGACAGATGACTTGCACTTGACCTCCCAGTACGACAGTGCAGCCGCTGCGGAAACAGTGTGGGATCCCTCAAAATATTAAAAATAGAATTGCCATATGACCCAGCAACCCCACTTTGGGGTCTATACCCCGAAGAACTGAAAGCAGGGACTCCAAGAGCATTTGTACGTCCCTCTCCACAGCAACATGATTCACACCCAAGGGTGTGAACCAACCCAAGTGCCCATCGACGGCCGAATGGATAAACAAAATGTGGTAAATAGATAAAACGGAATCTTATCCAGCCCTAAAAAGAGAGGAAATTCTGACATGTGCCACCATGTGGAATCTTGAAGACATTTTGCTAAGTGAGATAAGGCAGTCACCAAAGGACGGATACTGTCTGATTCTACTTAGACGGGGTCCCCAGAGGAGCTATATCCATAGAGACAGAAAGTAGGATGGTGGTCCTGGGGGATGGTCAGTGTTTAATGGGGACAGAGCTTCTATTTTGCAAAATAAGGAGAGTTCTGGTGAGGGTTACACAACAATGTGAATGTATTGAAAGGCACTGAAATAGTCACTTAAAAATGGTTCAGATGGGGAATTCTGTGACGTGTATTTTACCACAATTTGGAAACATCACAGAGTGGAGGACACTAGGAATTGTGATAAGACTTGGGGTATAAGTCCCCCCACCCCAATGGCACACACACACACACACACACACACACACACAGGGAGCGCTTATGAAGAGATTTCCAGGTCCCAGCTCGGGGCTAAGTGCTCTGCGTGTACACACGCCTGAGTCTCTTCTAACGCTAGGAGTTAGTTATAAATAATTCACAGATGAGGGGCTACAGCTTAGAGGGCTTAAGAGACTTACACAAATGCACACGGCTAGTAAGTGGCAGATTCAGGATTAAAAATCGGCAATGCACCACAAAATTCCTTAAGCGTTTCTTTGTTCACCTAAATCAGGCGTCCACTAGCAGCCCCTGTGAAGGCCAGGCCGTGTGTATTTGAGGCTTTGCAGCCCTTTGTCACAGCTTCCCAAGTCCGTGCTGTAACTTGGAATCCGCCATGGATGGGATGAGAAGGAAAGAGCCCGGCTGTGTTCCAATTACACGGCACTCACAGAAACAGCGAGCGAGCCAGGTTTGGCTGGCTGGCCAACTCCTAGATGGTTCTTCACAGTTTGGCTAATCCAGGAATTCCAGGCAGTGTTGCAGGGTGGGTACTTGGCGTTGGTAATAACCATTACACTCCTCTAAGAAATCAGAGGAACAGGGTTTAGGAGGCTGCTGGTGTCTTCAGAGATCTCCTGCCCGACCTGTCCCCATCTCCCTCTCCCAACTGGAGGGGTCCCTTCATGCCCTCTCCAGCCTGGTCCTCCCGTGTCCCTCTGCCTCTCACTAGGGACCCTCCGGCTCACAACTGTGGTTCTCTAGGGGACCCCTCCCTGCAAAGCAATCTTCACCCCAGTTCTGCCTGGAATGATCTCCATGGGACACACAGAGGGGTTTATTGTGGAGGAGGGAGTGAGGTCTGGGGGGCCACGGGTGGAGCTGAAGACCCTCCAACTCCTGCCTAAACTCTGCGCTCACAGGTCAGTATCATCCATCCAACGTCCCGTAGCAGGACCTGCTCGTGCGCAACCCGAGCTCCGGGCGGCTTGCATCCTGGCCTCGGCCGGGGGACCTGCTCCTTTCCGTCTGTGGTCCTGCTCTGTCAGGGTGTCTGTTTGCTCACGGCTGCTGCTCTACGATCACCTCTCAGATGCCTGGGTTTCCCCACCTCTCGGATGGCTGGGAGCCTGTCTCAACCCCTGCAGGTGGAGTTTTTCCGTTACTCAGGAGAAAGAAGAATGGGGGCATGAGGGGAGCAGCCTTGCCCCTCCCCCTCCCTCAAAGGATGGCGACTGTGTGCGGTTTTGTGCCAGCTCCCCTCGCCCGCCGGCCCCTCCTGCCCGGGCTCCCCACCCCGACCCAGCCACTCTCCGCCTTAACAGGCCTTTCCCGGCATCTGGATCTGGGTGTGCATGCATGCTGTGAGCTCTTCTCCAGGTCCCGAGAGGCCGTGCTGGGTGAGAAAGGGGGTGGTGACCAGGACCCAGGGGCCAGCCACCGGCTGCCGCGGTACGTGCAGGGGTGACAGCAGTAGGCAGATGTCCTCAGTCCTGCCAGGAGAACCAAGGGCGCGTGGACCTCTCAGGGAACCCAGGGTGGACAACAAGAGGGTGACTTTCTTCCCAAATCTCCTTCCAGTCCATCCTCCTCCAGACGTGACCGTGAAAGCGGCAGAGAGGCGGCCCTTCGATGACGTGTTTTGTTCTCTCGTGATATCATTCTCTCAGCTAGAAGAGCTGAACTTTTCAAATGCTTTGCCGTCCACAGGCACGCAGAAAGTTCAGGAAACCGCAGCCGGCAGAGCTGAATGCCACGGACCCAGCAGACTGGCTGGTGGGAGGCCCCGCCCTCCTCCTGCTGTCTGGACCAGGGGTGAGGCTGGAGGGAGCAAGGCTGCTGTGGCGTCTCTGGGATCTGGTGCTTCTGACTTCATGCCGGGCCCAACGCAAATGATTTCTTCAACAATTGATACTTTACGGTTTAAACTCACTGTGCCTCTCCCGGCCTTCATTAAAGAGAGGGCTTCGGCGCAGGTTAATGGGGGTATATTCAGTGAGAGTGCTGAGCTGCACTGTGCATATGACCCACGGTTGACCCTCAGTAAAAGAGAATTCCCTTTTCTTTCTTTCTAGAAGGAGAAGCACAAATGAAACATGCCATTAAAACCACTCCTACAAGCACCATGGCCACAGGCCTGTGAAGGACAACTATGAATTCCCAGGCTGGGGTTGTCAAGGTTTTCTCAAAACACACCTAGGCTGGACTTCTAGGTGGGGTGAGGCTTTGGGGATGAGTATCAGTGGCAGAAATTTACCAGGTGTCAATTGCTGAAAACCAGAGAGGCCCAGGCTCTCTTGTGGGCTAAGGTACCATTGTTCCCAGGTCTTTCCCCTCAAATCCTGAAGCACCTACTGGACGGGGGAGAGTCTGGGAGAAGCCAGAATATTCCACCCTGTGGGCTGGTGGGAGAAAGGCCTGCGGTGCTCCATCCAGGTCACAGGCCTCCGGGCCGCGAGGCTCACACAGCGAGTGGAGGTGGGACGGATACGAACGAGGGTCTGCATTTCATGGCCCAACTTCAGCGTACTCTGAAAAACCAGCCTTAAGGAAACCTGGGCTTCCCTGGTGGTGCAGTGGTTGAGAGTCCGCCTGCTGATGCAGGGGACACCGGTTCGTGCCCCAGTCCGGGAAGATCCCACATGCTGCAGAGCGGCTGGGCCCGTGAGCCATGGCTGCTGGGCCTGCGCGTCCGGAGCCTGTGCTCCGCAACGGGAGAGGCCACAGCAGTAAGAGGCCCGTGTACCGCAAAAAAAAAAGAAAAGAAAAGAAAAGAAAACCTGCCCATCGCGAGTCTTCCCCTGCTTTGTGCAGCTGTGTGTCCCTCCCCAAAATGCCCCTGACGTACGAGTGATGGGAGGGCAGTATGGAGAGAGGCTGTCAGAGCTCCAGTGCAGCCCGTGCTTCCTTTATTCTCGGGGTGAAATCATGACTGCAGCATGAGAGACTTAAGGAAGACACTGGGAAGGCACCAGACCAGGGGTGGGCAAACCACACCCCGCCCTGTAAATGGGACTCAGTGCCTGTTTCTGTATAGCCAGAGAGCTAAGAATCGCTTTTCCATTTTTAAATGGTTGAAAACAGTATCAAAAGGAGAATAATGTTTGGTGACACATGAAAATGACATACAATGTACACTTCAGTGTAGGTAAGTAAAGCTGTTTGGGAACAGGTCACGCTCTGCTGTTTCCACACTGCCTGTGGCTGCTAGCGCTGCTGTAACCAAGCAGGACCTTACGGGGCCTTCGCGGGCCAGACGCTTCCCCATACCCTCTGCTTTAGCTCCTCTCTGGAGGGCCTGGATAATAGTATCTGATGCACATTTCCTGAGTTGTTTTCCAGATGCTAAAACCACCACCAAACGGAAGACATTAACTACCCGATGACCACGAGCACATAGCCCCCAGGCCTCCTGGAGCCTAAGGATTGATCGTGTGAACCCCTGTGACACCGCCCTGGTACCACCACCAACCAGAGAACTGTGCACGAGCTGATCACATACCCCGGGACTCCCCTCTCTCACCTGGCCTTTAAAAATGATTTGCTGAAAACCATTGAGGAGTTCAGGTGTTTTTGTTTTTTTTTTACTGTGGACCATTTTTGAAGTCTTTATTGAATGTGTCACAATGTTGCTTCTGCCTTATGTTTTGGTTTCTTGGCCCTGAGGCATGTTGACCAGGGATCAAACCTGCACCCCCTGCATTGGAAGGTGAAGTCTTAACCACTGAACCACCAGGGAAGTCTGAAGGAGTTTGGGTGTTTTGAGCACTAGCTGCCCCGGACTCCTTGTTTGGCGCCTGCAATAAGCACTGTCCCTTCTTTCACCGCAATCTGGGGTCAGTAGATGGGCTTTACTGTGCATGGGCGAACAGATCCGAGTTTGGTTCGGTGACACCATGACAGAGCTGACTGAGAGTCATGGCACCTTGTGGGAGTGGCTTGGGCAGAGCTCAGAGCTGTGTTGTAAAGCAACAAGTCAGTGCCTTTCCACCTTTGTTCCAGAAGGTTCTTCTCCGTGTCTCACTTAAGTTTCTTATATTGCTGCCACCATTTTCCACAATTCTGGGCAGTTACTGACTCAGAGAAAATAGCCCCCGAGCCTGACACCAAGTGAAGGCCAGAAAAAGAATGAACCCAGGAGATCTAGCTCCCAGGAGAGTTTAGGCCGATGCCTCCTTCCAGGAGAGTTGACGGCACCTTTTCTGTTAAAGACATCACCTCGGGGCTTCCTGGGTGGCGCAGTGGTTGAGAATATGCCTGCCAATGCAGGGGACACGGGTTCGAGCCCTGGTCTGGGAAGATCCCACATGCCGCGGAGCAACTAAGCCCGTGAGCCACAACTACTGAGCCTGTGTGTCTGGAGCCTGTGCTCCGCAACGGGAGAGGCTGTGACAGTGAGAGGCCCACGCAACACGATGAAGAGTGGCCCCTGCTCTCCGCAACTGGAGAAAGCCCTCACACAGAAACGAAGACCCAACACAGCCAAAAATAAATAAATTTATAAAAAAATAAAGACGTCACCTCCCGTGGGGCAGGCCCCAGCCCAAGAAAGGGAGACCCATGCATTCCAGGTGGCATTCCAGGTGGGCAGGTGCAACCCGGGACCCTCTTACCTGCATATCCCTCCTGGTGATGAAGCCCTTGCCCTCGGCATCACAGGTCTGGAAGAACTCCTGTGCCTTCCTCAGCATGGTCAGCTGTGCTGGTGCCAGCTCCTGGGTCCCCTCACGCGGCAGGTCGTCCAGGGAGCCCGGGCAGGCCCCGCTCCCCTGGTGCCCCCAGCCAGGTCCCCGGGGTCTGGAGACCACTCTCCTGTCGGGCGTGGCCATCCAGATCTGTCAATTTCTTCGAGTTGTTTCAGAACCTGAAGGTGGAAGATGAGAGAGAGGAGTGGGCATGGTAGGGATGGAGGAAGGATGGAAAAGGAAGAGAGGGCATGGGAGGGAAGCAGAGGACCGCTCACCAGTGCCCGTTTCTCTCTTCATCGGCACAAGCTCGGAACAAGGGGAAATGTGCCCTGATCATTAACAGATCAGCCGGCCCATCAAAGAGAGCAGAGAAGAAGGGGGAAAGGAAAACAGACATTTCCAGTTTGAAAGGCGGTGGCCAGAGAATTTCTCCCGATCTAAATCAACGGCAAGAACACAGATGCTGATAGATCAGCTTCCATTTCTGGAGTGTTTACTTGGAGGCAGACACCACACCGTGGTCTCTATATACATTTTCCCATTTCCTCGCCCTCTAATGGTGGATTTCAGTCATGGTGACCGGCAGTGGAGGAAGGTCTCTGGGGTTGGGTTCCTCCTCTATAGCCCTCAAAATAGAGTGCATGGCAATCCACTACTACTGACCAGCCGTGTGAGCTTAAGCGAGCCCCAAAGCCATTCTGGGCCTGGGAATTAGTAAACCTGATCTCTCCGTTCTAGGTCTGACTTTCTCTGGCTCCCAGCTTCCCTGGCCCATGTCACAGGCGATGCATGGCATGAAAGAGGCAATCTCACAGTTCTAAAGAGGTCGGCTATGAGCACTAGGAGAGAGGCACCTCCTCTTATTTGATTTTAACCCCAGGTATCAGCCCAAAGGTGGTGTAAAGTCAGTGCTCATTGATTCCCTGTTGAATGAAGGAAGACAGCTCTTTCGTAGATTCTTTGCAGGGATGCCTGAAACCATTGGTATTTCAGTCAGGAAGCTCTTTATATGGGATTTTCATCTCATAAAGAGTAAGTCCAGACTTCTGTTTCCAGAAAAGATGGAAGAACAGGGACTGGATTTATCCTCCCAGTTGAAATAACCCAAAATCCAGATTATATATATATATTCATTTATTTATTTATTTATTTATTTATTTATTATTATTATTATTTTAATGGTTTTCCAGACGCTGGATATCAGGCAATGAAGGATAGTGACCAGCAGGGCTGGGACTAGGGTGAGTGGAGGGAGGACCCTAAAGTATCAGATTAAGAGGCGTTGAGTCTCAGGTCCTGACCCTGTACTCCCACTCTTGAGAACGTCTTCTTAAGGTTCAAGTAGAGGATTCCACTCTCGAAGCTGTGTATCTGAGAGTGACTAGCTTTTTAAATTTTGCTCCCAAAGGGCCCACACTTGCCTCCCTCTAGTCTAAGCCTTGTTCCTGAGAGATGGGAAACAAATGAAATATGTCCCATTATTGCCTAAAGAGTTTTCAGTTCATGGCACAGGAAGGGGAGACCCAGGTGGAGCCTGGCAGACACCCTAAACTGAGGCAACCCAACTATATGCTGCCTAAAAGAAATGTACTTTAGCATAAAGACCAAATAGGGGACTTCCCTGATGGCGCAGTGGTTAGGAATCCGCTTGCCTATGCAGGGGACACGGGTTCGAGCCCTGGTCTGGGAAGATCCCACATGCTGAGGAGCAACTAAGCCCGTGCACCACACTATTGAGCCTGCACTCTAGAGCTCGCGAGCCACAACTACTGAAGCCCGCGCACCTAGAGCCCGTGCTCTACAACAAGAGAAGCCACTGCAATGAGAAGCCCGTGAACCACAACAAAGAGCAGCCCCCACTCGCCGCAACTAGAGAAAGCCTGTGCGCAGCAACGAAGACCCAACGCAGCCAAAAGTAAATAAATAAATAAATAAATTTATATTAAAAAAAAGACACAAATAGGTTAAAAGTAAAAGACTGAAAAAATATATAGCATGTTAACACTAGTCAAGGGAAAGCTGCATATTAATATCAGGCAAAGTAGATTCTATAGAACAAAGAATATTAATGGAGATAAAGTCATTTCATAATGATAAAGAGGGCGATTCATCAATAGGATAAAACAATCTAAACACATATGCACCTAACAACAGGTGCAAAAAGCAAATGCATGAAACAAAAACTGATAGAACTTCAAGGAGAACTAGACAAATCCACAATCACATTCAGATTTCATTATCCCTCTATCAATAATTAATAAAACAAGAAGACAGAAATCAGTAAGGATACAGAAGACTTGAACAAAACTGTCAACTATTTTGACCTACTTGACATTTATAGAACAATCCACCCAACAAAACCTGAACACGCTTTCAAGTGCACATGGAACATTTACCAAGACAGTCCATATTCTGGTCCACAAAACAAGTTCCAATAAATTTAAAAGGATTTAGTCATACAAAGTATGTACTCTGACCACAATGGAATTATGTTAGAACCAATAACAGAAAGACCTCTGGAAAATCTCCAAATGTGGAAACTATGTAACATACTTCTAGAAACCCACGGCTCAAAGGAGAAATGAAAATGGAATTTAAGAATAATTTGAACTAAATGAAAATAGAAGTACAATATTTCAAAGTTTGTAGGATATTGCTAAAGCAGTGCTCAGGAAAAAATTTATAGCCCTAAACAAATATATTAGAAAGGAAGAAAGGTCTCAGGCCAATGGCCTCATCTTCTACCTCTAGAAACTAGAAAAAGAAGAGTAAATTAAACCCAAAGTAAGGAGAAGAAATAATAACAATCAGAACAGAAATCAATGAAATATAAAACCATAGAGAAAAACAGTGGAGAAAATCAACAAAACTAAAAGCTAGGCCTTTAAAAAGATCAATAAAGAGAGAAGATACATATTATAGTATAAGGAATTTAAGATGACATCATTACAAATTCTACAGACATTTAAAAGGATAATAAGGGAATATTATGAACTACTTTATGCCAATAAATTTGACAATTTAGATGAGATGGACAAATTCCTTGAAATATCACACTAAATATCAAAGCTCACTCAAGAAGAAATAGATAGCCCGAACAACACTGTATTTATTTTAAAAATTTTAAAAGAAAATCAACAACTCAGTTGTTTTTAAATGGACAAACATTTGAACAGGCGCTTCACCAAATAAGACACGTGGATATCAAATAACCACATGAAAATGTTCATCATTATTAGTCATCAGGGAAATGAAATTTAAAACCAAAATGAAATGCCACTACACACTTGTTAGAATGTCTGAAATGAAAAAGATTGACCAAGTCTTGGCAAGGACGTGGGGTGACAGGATGGAACACTCACATGTCGCTGGTGGGAATGTACACAAACGTACAATCCCTTCGGAAAACACTTTGTGGTCTCCTAGAAAAGTCAGACAAACTTCTACCATCTGATACAGCCATGACACTCCTCAATATTACTTGAAAAGTCAGACAAACTTCTACCATCTGATACAGCCATGACACTCCTCAATATTACTTACCTAAGAGAATTAAAGCATACGTCCATACAAAGACTTGTCCATAAAGGTTCACAGAAGCTTTATTTGTAGTAGCCAAAACCAGCCCAAATATTCATCAGCAGGCGAACTGGTAAGATTGTGGTATAAACACACAAAGGGATGCTATTCAGCTTTGAAAGGAAGGGACTGTTGATCCAAGCAACAAACCTTATGAATCTGAAAATAATCATGTGAGTGAAAGAAGCTGGACTAAAAGAGTGCATCCTATTTGATTCTACTTATATAAAACTATAAACAATGAAGACTCACCTATAGTGACAGCAAAGAGATAAGGGAGGGTGGGGAAGGGTGAAAAGGAGGGATGACAAATGGGCAAGAGCAAACTTTTGGGGGTGTGGATATGTTCGAAATCTTAATTGTGGTGATGGTTTCATGGAGATATACATATACATACAGACAGACACACATACTCAAACGTACATACATGTAGATACAAATATATATCAAAACATCAAATTATACGTTTTAAATATGTGTAGTTTGTTGTATATCAATAGCTGACTAGATCTATTTTTTTTAAAAAAGAATAGGTCAGCCAGACCCTTCTCATATTCCCCGGGACTTGCAAATCTAGGCCTGCCTACTGTGTTTATTCCCAGGATCCTGGTTCTTCCTCTTACCGTCAACTCTGGCAAGCCAGAAATGGCTGAAAATTAAGCAATTTCCCTGTGAAAATGCTCAGTCCCTTAGTGTAGGGGAGCTAAATGAACTTGGGAAGTAAGGGAGCAGGGCAGAGTCCCTCCTGCAGACGATTGCCCTTTATGAGTTCGCCTCCTTTCTCCCCTGGCTTTGACCTGCAATCTTCCCACAGCATCTGTGGGGTTTCCAAGTAGAAGGGAAGACAAAACAACAGAAGTGCTTCTACTTTCATTTCAAAATAAAGTGGAAGCCCTGTGATGGGCCTGGCTGCCTCACACTTGGATGAAGCCCTGTGATGTCCTGGGCCCCGGCTGGACACAGCTTTCTGTCTCCAAGATTTTTTGGCCGCCAGACAGTACACCCATAAAAGGGAAAAGGGTGTGATGCGTTCCAGAGGCAAAGGGCAAAGGCCATCACGATCACAAAGGGAAAAAAGAGCCCACTTTTATCTGCCCGTCTCTATCAGAGCCGGGAAACTGCCACTCTCCCTCCAGAATGGTTCCATGAAAGTCTTTATACACAGATGGAAATTATCCAGCCCTCAGATATTTCCAGGAACACTTCCCAGACCTCCAAAGTAATTCACAGCTTAGTAACTGCTGTAATCAGAACGTTCACGGACCAAGCCCATATCCTATCTGAAGGCCCTAAGCTCCCTTCCCCGTCACTCTGGGCTCCACGGAGCTGGAGAATGGCTGATACCTTGCGGCACACCACGCCCGAGACTGACTTGAAAGTCACCCTGATCTCCCTTGAATCTCTCCTGCAGCAGACAGTTAGGAAGTCAAGAGCCCCAAAGCATCTTCAGGATTCATTCAAATCCCATGAATTACCCAGGCTCCAATGGAGGAATATTCTCTACGTGGCAGCGCCACACATGTCCACCACTAACTCCGCGTTGGCTGTGTCAAAGAGAGGTGGACAGGCCAGTCGTGTTGACCTGTGAAGACACAGG